TCACGGCATACAATTTCTATTTATCCTGTCTTGAGGGTTTAGGATTCAGGGTTTAGATATAGATCCTGCAGTACCCATAATAAGGAATAGACCATAGTTCCCATAGTTTAGGGTCCTGAAGGTAATGCAGGGTCTATATCATCAACAGTAGTTCTCTAAATTCGGGTGCTGTCTAAGGGAACTACCCATGTGTGGGGGTTTAGGGTTTAAGGATTTAGGATTGAGGGCTTGGGGTTATATGGGTAGTTCTCTAAATTAGGGTCCCTTTTAACTCCGCGATATAGTACCGCACCCTTATAGAAAGGACCCTGAAAGAGACCCCGATGTGGAGAACAACCCCTTTATGTCCCAAAATCAGACTCGTACCCTGACACCTTCGAACCCAATGCAACCCATGTTCTCAGTGACTCTGGTGCCCTCCTTGTAGCAGGCTGGATACCCGAAACGTCCAGAGAAACGGCTTGCCACGGACCATGGGTCGGGGGCCCTGGGTTCGAAGATTGGGGGTGCGCTTTGAGTCCCATTTCAATTCTGCAAAATTACACGCCCTTACAATGAGCCCATAGAGGGCTCTAGAAGGCCTTATCAACTGCTCAGCCCGTGCAGCTCCAGGTTGTGACGAGCATCCTCCTTCTTTGTATCAGCCTAATGTTATGTTGCTAAGGTTCATGTTGCCCAGCCTGAACTGCAGTCTGAAGCTCAAGCCAGTTATACTAGTGTTACTGTCGCTTCCAAAATGCAGGGCCTTACGATTCTCGAATCTGGGCCTCACCCACAATGTAGGCCTTGCCTTGCGCTCCGTTCTTAATCCCTAAACTCACCTTTCCCTCTTTAGGGTTGGAGTGTAGGGTTTCAGGCTAATCCCTCAATCCCTAGATGCCAAGCCCTCGACCTCTCAGTCTCTAGAGCCTTAAACCCAAAAGCTGGCACAGAGACCTGGTAGACCTTGAATGCAGGGATCCTCAGAAGAGGAATGAACTGTGGGGTGTTGGGCTCTTTGAGGGGAAACTTGGAGGTAGGCTTTGGGAATTCTGTAAGGATAGTACTCCTCCAAAAAGGTCGAAATTTACTGGGTGTCTGGACACCCTGGAACACGCCTTGCACAATCCGGGGCCAAGATTGTGGATTCACGCTATGTCCCATTCTTAACACGGACAATTGGGTTTAGGCCGTCGGGATCGTGAGTCACCCTATGTTCCTTGTGCAAGCTAACAGGGCCGAGGAGGGTTGACATCTGAGCCGAGGCCGATACTTTATCGCCGGGAGCTGGAACGTCGTGGCCCCGGGGGGGGGTGAGTTTCTTGTTGCGAGGTTTGGGCTCCTTGTAGGAGATCCGTGGTATGTTCAGAGAGGTGTCAGTGGTCCTTAGAAGGTCTTTTTGCAGTGTTTGTTGTAGAGTTTGGAAGAAGATGCTGAGTGTTTGAATCTCGTTGAAGACTTCGTCCTCGTGCTTTCGGTTGAAGAAGTCCTGAGCCTGGATTGGCTAAAGGTGTTTTCGGATGAACTGGGATCCTGAGTCCTAGCCTTAAGGACTCTACATGCCCTAACCCTCAAATCCTCAATTTCTGAAGCTCCGAAGGACAAGCCCTAAAATTCACAACTCCGTAACTCTGCAAGAACTTAAGCCCTATCTCCAGGAAAAAACGTGCGCCCTGACCATTACAAGACCCTTCTAACGCCCAAACCCAAACGCGATCAAGTCGTTACAAGACTTTGTAAACCTTCTATGTAAGCACATCCAAAGGACTGGCGCCCTGAAGAAATGATGCTCGAGGATGAAGCGGTTGGGCGCTTCACAATCAAGGCCGGGAATCTATGGGGCCCAGACCCAGTGTTTCTAGGCACGTTGTCCTGGAGGGCGATTCCACAAATCGGGATTTCATTCTGTGTTTTCTGGGTGATAACAGGCACCCCTTCGCGTTCCAGGAAATCCTGCATAATCCTGGCGACGACTCAAGGAGGAGACTGTGCTTCAGCGTGAGAGATTTCTTCCGGGGTTCGGGCACAGGGTTGCATCGACTATGAGAGCATGAGGGTTTGGGCTCTCAGGCTTTAGGGACTCGGCTGGCCAGGTCTAAGAGGGGATCCTCTTCGAAATGGCGCCATCCTCCCAATCTCCGCACTGCCACAGTTGCCGGATCTACAAGGAGATCCATCATGACAAACTACAGCTTCCAATGTTTCTTGTCGTACTGGTACTCATCACCATACCAACAATAGTAAGAAGCCGTCCTTTGCGCTATGATATGGAAAAGAGCTTGCCATTTTCATGTTTCCTTGCTAACCAAGGCAGCTCTCCATGAAGTCCCAGGCCGTAGGGCGCCCCTCACATCTGGCCTTCGGCCTCAAACCTAGCTGACACTTTGAGAAGTTGATCGATCTCCCTTCCAGCCGGTCTTTTTGTCTTCAGGGGTTCCTAGTCAAAGACATTTTCGGTTGACCTTAAGTAGTAAGCAGGAACCCGAAGCCCGAAAACATGCGGCCAGGCCTCCCTGCCCAAGGGCAAGCAGCGTTTCCAAATCCTGCGAAACCGGGACTGGCGCCAGCTGGCCGCGTGGCCCAGAACTGATAGGTCCTTTAGTAGCTCAGTGGCTAAGTTTGAAGCTGCTAGTGAACTGAACATATAAGTGCTGATTCAGCTAGTAATGGTCCAAAAGTTCTTGCATACAGAGAGTGAGACGGCCATTGCTCCATGGGGTCATAAACCCTAAACCCCAAACCTCTAAACCCTAAAAGCCCTAAACCCCTAAACCCTAAAACCCTAAACCCTAAACATACCCGCAACTACCATCCTGACAGTTTTCCTCATCAAGATCATCGTTACCCAAAGGCTCCTTAGTAGTTCCTTTTTGAGGTTGTTATTTAGGATCCTATAAGGCAATCCCAAAAAGGAACTACTTAGGGGCCTATGGGTATGTGACTCTACAGATATGCAACTGAGTATGTATGATTATGTATGTGCACAAAAGCAGACTACGTTGAGCGTATATCTAGCCAAATGTGTATCCATTTACCGATCCACCTACCTACCTCAAACTGCCTGTGCAGGTATAAGTTTGCCACTCCTCCAAACCTAGCCTGCAACCCATCTATCCTCGCCCTTATACTTACTAGCCTTTATGGAACCCATCTAGCAGCCCTTGTAAAGGAACAGTTGTAGGAACCATTCTATATTATCTCGAACCCATCCAGGCGGCACTTTTCTCCGTACCTTCGGAGGAAGCGTTGTTTCTTTTACTTCATAGAAGGAGCCTCATACTTCCTCCCCCGCCCGCTTGCTCAGATCTATCCTGAGACGCGCTACGCGGATTGCGAGGATGACGTGCCAGTGAAGGTTCCCTTTGGGGGGGTGCTCCTTGAAGGGCTCTTGTAAGGCTTCCTTTAAGGGCCCCTTTTTGGGGCTTAGGGGTCTGGGGCTTAGGGCCTAGGGCCCAGGAGTTTTGATGGTGTGGGGGCAGTGGGATAAAAAAACGGACTTATATGGTTTCAAAGGTTTCGGCCACTTCTGTGGGTTTCGGGTCTGCGGCTTTCTGGGTGTTCTAGCTTTCTGCAGTGACAATCGCTGTGAGGATGTAGGTTTCAGGGCATTGTTGTCACGAGAGAAAAATCAGGGTCCGCCGAACCCAAAGTACTAAACACCCCACCCTACACCCCCTAAAACCACTCTCGAAGCCAAAGCTTGGCAGCTAGCTTTACTTCTTTCATCTGTGGGCCCTCACCTGAAGATCCGTGATCCCCAAAAACGGGAAACGCCTCAATTCCCTCTAGCCTGCAACTCGAACGAAGCTTGCACATGCGCAGGAGGAGGTTTTTTTTCATGAATCCCAAACCCTGAACAAAGAAGACCCGAAACCTGACCCAAAGCCTCATAGAAGCCCAGAAGAATCTTGTACTAGTAGAGCGTTTGTGGTTACAGCCTTAAGGTTAAAGCAACCTGAAAACAGACCTTACAGTTTGGAGCCCCGAAATATAACCTCAAGCCCTTCAGACCCCGATGCCAAGCTTGCTTCCCACAGGGACCTGATGCATCCGGCTACGACAGCCCGCTTCCTCAGAGCTTCCATTGCAGGGGCAGGGTCGGGGGGGGAGTTTCATGTCGGGGCCTTTTTCAAAAAAACTTCTGGTTTTGTGGGTCGCCTCACTACTCCAAGCCCATGAATCGGGCAAAGCTGAACCCTGAACCCCGACCCCTAAACTGAGCTGTCTTCCTTTCGCCGTCGTAGCACTGCAGCTACCTGGAGTTGAGGGTGCTCGGCTTTCAACATCCTGGCGACATGTTGGTAGTGTTAAGGTGTTTCTTGGGGTTCGTGGGTTCAGGTGTTAGGGTGTTTCGGGTACAGAACTTTGCGGTTAGGGTTGAAAGGATGTGTAAGCAAGATCCGATGGCTGTTGTCGTCTTCGAACTGGGCTCGGCATTCTAGTACAGCTCTCTTAACAGGGGTTAAAGAGTCATGTTGAACCTTTTCTTCAACCATGCCCACCGACTTCAAAACTTCTGAACTAACTGGTGGAACCCCTGAGGCTACTGGAGCATCGAGGTCCGTCGCTCTCTGCTGTTTGCAGCGGGCAAGGTTGGCCTAAACTGTAAAACTTGGTACTATACTGTACAAACTAATATACTATAATATACTATAATATACCCTAATATACTGTAGTATACTATAATATACTATAATATATTACGTAGATTAGACAGTTCCTGGCAAATCCAGTCTGTGCTGGAACATAGGACCCTGTGTCTGTTGAGTCCCAGGCTTCGAGGGTGTGATATGACCCACGTAAACCCTAAATATAAAACAGAAGCCTATCTTCGAAAAAGGCGAAGACGCGATGAGCAGTTTTAGAATTGTCCAGCTTGCTGAGGAGTTGCTAAAGTGGAGCTCTTTAAAGGATAAAAAGGGAAGGACCGAATGATGGATGCGGGCTTTAGGTCTGACCCTACCTATAGTCTCCATTGTAGTTCCTTTTTGTGGTTTAACCAAATCTATAGTAAGGATCCTACAAGGTAACCACAAAAAGGAACTACAAT